TTTTTTTTCAGGATTCTTTGATGAATAAAAAGTTAAAAAGAACAGCATTTATTCAAAATATAAATCTTTTCTAACTATATAAATCTTTGCTATCACTTCTTAACAATTTAACACATCCTTGCTGAATAAAAGTTTTAATTTCTTTCAAAAAAGAAAGAATAAAAATTGACTGACCCCAAACTTTTGAACAGTAGTATATATTGTTAGAAAAGATTTCTATTTTAAATAAATGCTCTTCTTTTTAACTTTTTATTCATCAAAGAATCATGAAAAAAGTATCACAGGTTCCAAAAAAATATTAAGCAGCACAATAATAAATCAGCATATTAGAATGATTTCTGAAGGATCATGTGACACTGAAGACTGGAGTAATGATGCTGAAAATTCAGCTTTGCATCACAGGAATAAATTAGATTTTAATGTATATTCAAATAGAAAAACGTTATTTTACATTGTAATAATATTTCACAATATTACATTTTTTCCTGTATTTTTGATCAAATAAATGCAGCCTTGATGAGCATAAGAAACTCCTGTAAAAAACATTAAAAATCGTTCTGATCCCAAACTTTTGAATGGTAGTGTGTATATATATCGAGTAAAAATCGAGTAAAAAATTAACTAACTAATCGCATTTTTTCGCAATTTTTTCTGAAATTAATCTTGATTAATCCCACCTAACATAAATTTTTTTTTTTAATATACTTTTCTATTGCAATAATTTCTCATTCAATCTTCAAATTAATGTAGAAACAACATAAAGACAGTATATTTTTTAATATTTGTTTAATGGCATTTTTTTACGACTGAAGGCAAGCATCACTGATACCAATACTTCTGATGTCTCTATGAATTTTTTCCCCTAATATTTAACTATTGACTATAGCCATTCAACATTACAATATAATTGAGAGCTATCAATTTTAACATTTATTAGACTTTAAACTAACAAATAACAATCTTCACATAAACCCATTATAATGTCATATTTACCTGTACCCTTCAGCAAGTAGGAAATATACAGAAATTGAATAAAGTTATCAAACACTAAATTCTAAATTAAATATAGATGAATCCTTAAAGCTACAAAAGGTATTGATTTCCTCTTGTTTCTTTTGTTCTTTGATGAACAGGCATCACAGCAGCTGGGTTATTAGGTTATTTTGGCTGCTTTAAGAGCTGCCGCTGCTGAACATGACGCGGATCTGACACGCATCGTATTTTCTCACGACTCTTTACTTTTTCTGACCCACTTCAGGTCTTAAAGTCTCTATTAATGAGCTGACGAGTTGAATCGGGTGTGTTAGATGAGGGAGACAATGCTGCTGCTCCAGAACAGTTTTGAAAACCACTGCATTTCATAGACATGTTCTTAAATCTGACTCCTATATAACAAATACTTACATGCGTGCACAGTTTTAAGGCAGCTTTAATCGCCTTTTTGGTAACTTCATAACTTAACTGACGACATAACTACAACATTTCATGCTCGCAGTTTCTTTAGCGCTTTAATGTGATATTATGTAGGCTACAGCATGCTCCTTCGCATCTGTGCGTGCAACTGAAGAGCACGTGCTACGAGTATAACAGCTGACAGGACAGGAAAATTCGTTTTTATTGACATATGGCCTGGCAACATCTCACCTGACCGCAGTTCACTGTAGCTCCCTCATCACCTGTACCTTTTCCGTGCTTGTTTGAAAAAAAAAAAAAATATTTATTTTTTTTTTATTTAAAGTAATTTCAAAACAATACATTTTTTCCATAGTTTAGGCCGTCTTAGGCCGTTGTAGCATAAACGTTTATGTGTAATAAATTATGTGGAATCAAATCAAATATTTCTTTCTAAAGCTATTTTTTGTAATATCATTTAACACAATAATGGCTTTAGATTATCTTTTGGGCGTATTTTCACAGCTAAAATTAATTTGTTAATTAATTATATTAATTAATCACCACATCATGTAATTAACTAGATTAAAAATTTTAATCGACTGACAGCCCTATATTGTAAACAGATGTGCATTGTTCAGCATGTCAGCCAACCCCGCAGCTGCAGGGATAATAACATTGATTGTTTTTAACTGATCACGCTGTCTGTGTAGACTAAAGGTTTTTAAGTCAGAGATCACAGAGACTGACATGATGTTTGCAGAACTTGAGTGATGCATGCATTCACTGAAACGCAGCCCTCTTTAATGCTTTTACGGATTGATAAATACAGTTCCACTAGAGGGCAATCTTTAACATGCACCTTCATGCAACAATCATCATGCCAAATGCTTGAATGCTAAAATTGAAACACAAGATTTTCGTTTTTCACACGCATGCTTATATTTCCAATCCTGAGGTTTGATGTCTCTAATCTAGTGTTGCTTCACATCAGGTAATGGTTTGCAAGTGGCTCTTTTTCCAAGGAATTATGCATAATTTAAATGCCCCACATATGGCCGTTGCGCAAGTGATTTTCCTTCACGGTGAACCACCACACAGTCATCGCTTAAGACTTCAGAAGCCACTCTTATGCGTCCTTCTGAACCTTAGGTGGACAGAAAGTCCACCTTTAATAGTCCACATTAAAAATAGTCCACCTTTAAAAGTCCACATTAATAATGTGATGGATGCATCAGCTACACTTGCAATGAACCGCACATCCATCTTATAAGAGCCTAGTATCGCACAGCACTCAAGAAGTGAATGAATAATTAAAAGGAAGTGTGGTTCAAACAAAGCCTGAGACTTCTATTTTGCATTTGTTTTCTAGTTTATTACTTTATATCATCAGCATAACAATTTGAGTTAAACGTTGAATGGAAAACGATAACATTTTCCCTTGGCTTCAATGGCAACAGCACTTGAGCTAACCTACCTGAAATATTACTAATTCATCTTATGCCATGATGTGTCTTTGTTTTACATTTTTAGAATCCTTAAACTTAATTTACAGGTTTAAATTTGATTTCAAATCCAAGATGTTCAGTGTGGTCCTGAAACGCTAAACTCACAGTTAGTTTTCCAGCATTTCTGTATGACCTTCAAGACGTTCCTCTTGAATCAGCGAATGTCACATTCTCTCTGAAGATGCGATGAACATTGTTTCGAACAGAAACTCACCCATATTGACTTCACAGCAGATGTTTGAAGCTCCCCGCATTTGTTCTGACCTCAGAAGCTCAGGGTTTTGATCTTGAGGGTCCTCGGTCCTTGTGTGCATGGCATGGGTACGCTTTAAGAGAGTAGTTTAATATGCATGAGCGGACCAGCCTGTCAATTATCTTCTGTCATGCACTTCACTTATTTTCAGGATTTTTCATTTCTTTATTTTCAGAAATAAGTTTTTAATAGAGGATAGGCCACAGACTTTATCAGGATTTGCTAGTTGCAGGTGGTATTAGGCATTCTCATTCTAGAGAGCGTTTGATTGGACAGAATTCTGTGTAGTGCAGGATGAGTCATCAATTTTTAGTCTGTTTTCCAGGACTGCATTTTAAATGTGTACACTACCGTTCAGAAGTTGGGGATTGGTAAGATTTTTAAAAATGTTTTTGAAAGATGTCTGTTACGCTCACTAAGGCTGCTTTTACAGAATTTGATCAAAAGTATATTAGTACAGCAATATTGTGAAATATTATTACAGTTTAAAATAACTGTTTTCTACTTAAATACATTTTATAGTATAATTTATTCCTGTGTTGTCAAAGCTGAATTTTCAGCATCATTTCTCCAGTCTTCAGTTTCACATGATCCTTCAGAAAGCATTCTAATATGCTGATTTACTGCTCAAGAAATGTTGAGAACAGTCGTGCTGCTTATTTTTGTGGAAACGGTGATATGTTTTTTTTTTTAGGATTCTTTGATGCATCGAAAGTGCACAAGAAAAAATATAGAAATATCTTTTGTAACTTTATAAATGTCTTCACTGTCACTTTTGATCAATTTAAATCCTTGCTAAATAATTTCTTTAAAAAAAACAAAAAGCTCACTGATCCCAGATTTTATCCTAGGCTTACTGTGGTGCGATATCAGTAACCAGAGCTGGGTAGATTACTTACAAATTGTAATCCGTTACTGATTCCAAATTACATGACATGAAAATTGTAGTTAGTAACGTAATCCATTGCATTACACATTTAGGTAATGTAATCAGACTACTTTTTGATTACTTTTAGATTACTTTTGACCAAACTCATTTATCACATTGATTTAAATAGGATAGTCTTGTACCATAATGATGTAAAAATACAAAGAGTAAGAAAATGTATTCCATTAATTGTAATTGGAACATTCAAAAGATGAAAAAGAGGAATTAGGGGAATCAATAAATTATGAATAATTTATTGCTATTGTGTGAATAATATCATGTAATCATGTAATCAATAAAAATAGCTGTAGTCTGATTACGAGTATTTAAAAATGTAATTTACTCCAATTACAAGTACTTAATTTTTGGAATCTGATTACGTAATCCAGATTACATGTAATCAGTTACTACCCAGCTCTGTCAGTAATTTATGAGTCTTTTTTTAATGTGTTTTGTATTGTTTGTTTTAGTGTTTTGCTAATGGACCTTGAGTCTGGAACTAAAGTTGAGTGAGTGAGTGAGTGAATGAGTGAGTGAATAAATGAATGAATGAATAACCTAGAAAGTTAGTGTATATCTGCCTAAATGGATTTTTGTCATATTTTAGGTGCAGGGTTATTATAGTTCACGAAATGAAAATTATAAATAAATAAATACATACATAAATAAAATTAATTCATTGAAATAAAATAAATGTTAACTGAAATAACATATATAACATAATACCTTCATCTAGTTGCCAAGGCAACATTTCTCATTTAGTTCAACATTTCATTTCATTTAACTTGACGCACTAAAATAGGTAAAACTAAAACTGAAATAAAAATTAATAATAAAAACTATATAGACTTTAAAAAAACGCTATTTATACTTAGTTATTTAGCTTAACCCTCTTTTTCACATTTCCCTGCATAATTAATTATGCACAACATATTTGTACAGACTGTTGCCATGATATCCCTATAGACGTGCCCCCCTGATTTCTGTGTAATGATGAACATGCTGTTATATTATGGTACACTCCCTGTGAGCTCCTGTTTCTATATGGCTGATTATCCTTGGCACATAATGAGGTGAAAGGAGCCCATTAAAGCTCTGTCCTCTGACCCGGACCTACAGGGTCATACACAGAGATCTGCAAATCTGGGATGCCCTTCATAATTTAGGCTCTCCTGCTGATGCCTTCGCACTGTCTGTCTATCTCACTGTAGGCTCCGAGGTCATCGTGGGGGTCAACAAGTACCGCCTGGAGAAGGAAGAAACTGTGGACGTGCTCTCCATCGACAACACAGCCGTGCGTAACAAGCAGATTGAAAAGCTGCACAAGGTTAGTTCTGTCCGGCGATGATTCACTGCACGGATTTTGATGTCAAGCTCCTTCATCCGTGTTGATGCGATCTGAAATAGTCACATATAGTCCCTTCTCAGTAGAGCTCTCTGTGAAGTTACCTAATCACAATCAAGGGCTTTAATTCAATCGAGTACATTAAGTGCCCCATAGAAATGGCCATAATTTTTGCTTTTGTTCAGAAAAACTGTCATCATTGTATTCATCATTGCAAAACAGATCTGTGAACATTAAAGGAAATACCTTATAGAATTATATTCAGTGATGTAGGAATGATTTGAAAGTGGAGAGAACATTAAGGTATTAATCTTTTATATAGTAATTACCATTTCTCTAAAAGCTAAGGGGCAAACAGGAATTTTAATGTTTGTGTCACCTGCTAAATTGATTCCAGATGAAAATTACCATTGTTGTTTAATGCATACAAGAACAATCAACACCGTGTCTATTTGCTGATTTAAAGGACAGGAGGAGGATTTTGAGCTGAGATGATTGGATATGAAAGTAATTTTTTATATATACTGAACAGATGTTCAGTTTTAATTTCTTTAGTTTATATTTACCTTTGTATTTTTCTTTCTTCATTTAGCAGAAGCAATTTATAGATCTAAAAATAATTCTAGTATATAAAGGTAATTTTTCATCTTTCTGCTAGTTGTAGCCATGACAATGTGATATGTTGTTGATATTTACTTTTCACTCTAAAATCAATCTCTTTGATCTTGGGGTCAGTATGATTTTTTTTTTTTATTAATACTTTTAGTCAGCAAGGATGCATTTCAATTGTGAAAGAAAAAAAATGTTTGGTTAAAGAGGTTACAAAAGATTTCTATTTCTAGATTTCTAAACTTTCTATTCATTAAAAAATCCTGAAAATTGTTTTTATCAAGGTTACCTCAAAAATATTAAGTTCAGTTCAATTTATTTAGAAAGTATGATAAAACAACAATGGTTGACCATTGTGCTGAACAATATCATTTAAAAGAAATCAAAGTACATAACATAATATGACAAGACAGACAAACAAATAATCATTTTGAATAAGCCCCTTTTGGCTCATACACTATAAGTCTTCATTAAGAGATAGACTTTTAGTTTTGCTTTAAAAAGTAAGTGTGTCGCAATTGTTCTAATAGAGTTAGAACAATTGCACAATTAAGCAACTCTTTTCAACATTGATAATAAGAAATGTTTCTTGAGCAGCAAATCAGCATATGTGACCCTGGATCACAAAAGGGTCAATTTTTTGAAATTGAGATTTATACATCACATGAAAGCTGAATAAATAAGCTTTCCATTGATGTATGGTTTGTTATGATAGGACAATATTTGGCCGAGATGCAACTATTTGAAAAAAAAATCAAAATATTGAGAAAATCGCCTTTAAATTTGTCCAAATGAAATTCTTAGCAATGCATATTACTTATTAAAAATGTAATATATTTATGGTAGGAAATTTACAAAATATCTTCATGGAACATGATCTTTACTTAATATCCTAATGATTTTTGGCATAAAAGAAAAATCAATAATTTTGACCCATACAATGTGTTTTTGGCTATTGCTACAAATATACCCCAGCGACTTAAGACTGGTTTTGTGCTCCAGGGTCACATATGAGAATGATTTCTGTCTGAAGGATCATGTGACACTGCTGAAAATTCAGCTTTGCATCACAGGAATGAATTACATTTTTAAAACGTATTCGAATAGAAAACAGCTATTCTAAATTATAATAATTTTCACAATATTTACTGTAGTTTTGATATAAAAAATATATATATATAAAAAAAAGCAGCTTTGGTGAGGATTAGAGACTTCATACCTACTTTTGAACAGTAGTGTATACATAGTACATTTTTGGTTGTCCTTTTTGTGTGAGCTATGTGAAAATCCTGTCTTTTTTTGCACACAACAAGCAACACAGCAACTCAGATCAGCTGAGAAATATTAATAGCCTTAGGAGAAACAATAATGTACAGTATGTGGAAAATAATGTGTTTTTGAACCTTAAACCGCATAAACACATTTCATTCACAGAAAGCGCTTGAGAAACAGTGTCTCTTCCGCGGCTCGGCACGCTTTCCACTCTTTTTTTTTTTTGTCTCGAGCAAGAGACTGTATGACATTGACGTTACATGATTTGACTGATTTTTATGTAGAAAGGGCGACAGCGAACCACATTAAAAGAAATTAACATTCATGTTTTCATAACCGCTGGCCAAATTCAAAAACGAAACTAAAATTAAATCATCTTTGAGAGCAAGGGGGCCCCCTGGTGTTTTTGAGTATAGGGAGGATCGGCTCTGGTTACCCAAAACATCTTTAGTTCATAAAGTGTATGTACTACATCTGTGGAGTGATGTTGGGTACCTTGGAAAATAATTTAGATTCTCTCATGTTGTAAAAAAGAATAGGAAATATGTTTAAAGTAAGTAATGCACTGGAAGTGAAGTGCATATAATTAACAACAAAAGACTTGTTTACTTACTTTTTCATATTTCAATTGAATTCAATTGAATTTTATTTTATTTTGAAAAAAACGTTTAGAAGTTTTGAAAATCATTGAAGTTTAAATTATTTAATAAATTAAAAAACTTTTTTTGTTTTTTTTTTACATTTAACATTATTTCCTTCCCTCTATTGCACTGCCAAAGCAGATTGTAATATAATCATTATCTGTGTTTCTGGCAGCAGATTTTCTTTTGCGAATGGTTGGCCATAAAAATGTCCTTATGTATCCGTCATGCCCTGAGTCACGGCACACTGATGTCCTGTGCTTTGATTCTAATGTCACTTAACAATTTCTCTACATTTTCCAGCTGATCGGACAGAGAGGGCAGACAGGTCAGCTAAATGTGACTCTTTTCCTTTTGAATGAGACAAACCCCACTGACATGACTTTACTTATATTATAAGTAGTCCTTAGGGAATATTAAATATATCTTATGACCCCTTTTATATTCTGCAAAGGAATCTGTCTTATTAGAATGGGGTTTTAGCATTATATATACACACTTATAATATTTATTAGTGTTTTGAATTTTCATTTTAATTTTAGTTTGTTTTAGTAATTTTGTTATGTGCTTTTGTCATTATTAGTTGTTTTTAATACATTTCTATATAGTTTCATTTTCATTTGTTTTATTTCAGTTTAGTAATTTTAGTACTTTCAGTAATTATTGTTATTTATTAATATATTTTGGTTGTTGTTTCAATTTTTGTTTAAGGTAAAAATTTTTATGTAATAAAGATTACGTAGATGATCAGATTTTTTTTTTTTTTTAATAGCTTACATTTTTGGCACTTTATTAGCACAAGCTAGAGGAAAAGAAGGATCACAGTTCCTCTGTGTTTGGTCTTCACAATTCGATCACCCCTTTTACAGCAAGTAAAGCAGTCCAGTTGATAGTTAATAATATCTGCACTATATGCTGTGTTTTCTGAGATGGTTTCCCCCACAATGTATTTGTATTCTCTTACATCTCCATCCACATGATTTCAGATGGACGTCGCCTGGTTGTTTATACACTGAGCTGATTCCAGGTTTTCATATGTTTGTTTGGCTCATCCAGGTTCGGTGTTTGCACATCGTAATGAAGCTGTGTTTGCATTGCAGGTCAGAGAGAGCAGGGATGCAGAGACGGCGAAGAGGTGCTTGGCTGCGATTGAACAGTGTGCACGTACCAGAGATGGAAACCTGCTGGAGCTCGCCGTGGAGGCTGCGAGAGCCCGGTGGGTCTGGCTTCATGAAGTCCTGATGAAGCCAAAAAGCAAACACATTTACAAAAGCTTTATTCGAACCCTGAACCTTAAATAATGTTAGGGTGTAACTTATTAGCGTAAAGTATTAGTGTGTAACCTGTCTTGCATCATGGCTTGTTGAGGAAATGAACAGTGAAATTACTTTTCTAAGTGAAAACTCCTTAGCATCCACCCAAAACACCCTAGCAACCACATAGCAAAATCCTGGAAATCACCAACAACTTTTGACTTTTGTGTGTGACTTTTGCACTGTAACGAGGCTTCAACAGAGTGAGGATCCATTTGCAGCTTTATTGAAAACGTAGTAGAACAAGCAGGGTCAATCACCAGAAAACACAACAGTAAAGATGAGATAACTCGGAATCCAGGGACAGGCATGAGGTCAGGGCAGGCAGCAATAAATCAATAATCAGTTCACAATAGCAAAGAGTCCAGGGCAGGCAGCAGGCGATCACGGCGAGAATAAACAATCCAAAGGTAATCCACAGGTAGACAAGACACGGGAAGAAACGCTCAGAAATGCACACCGAGGCAATACAAGACTTCGCAGTGAGGGAGAGTCTGAGAGCTGTATAAATAGTCCACTAATGCAGATCAGGTGCTAGCGCAATCAGAGCCAGGTACGTGAGTGGGAAATGAAGTCCGAATTGGAGTTCAATACTCAGGGGAGAGCTCCCTCTGGTGGCGAACAGGAGGCACTGTGGGAGTCTCGTTTGTGACAGAGCCCCCCCCTGTGAGCGGCTCCTGACTCGAGGAGGCAGATGACACCGGGGTCTTCCGCGAGGTCGAGGGGCCGGTTGGGTGGGCCGGTTTATCCGGGTGCGTCCTATGGAACTCGGTGATGAGTGTGGGGTCGAGGATGTCCTCAGCATTGACCCAGGATCGCTCCTCCGGTCCATACCCCTCCCAGTCCGCCAGATATTGGAGGAGTCCTCCCCGGCATCTGGAATCGAGTAGTTCTCAAACTTGGTATACCTCCTCGCCGTCAACCAAGATGGGTGGAGGGCCCTGGTCCCTGATCAGCTCCTCCTCCTTTGCTCTCGGACCACCAGCGGGTTTGGGAAGTGAAACATGAAATGTAGGAGAAATACGATAATTAGCGGGTAATGCCAAAGGGTAAGAAACTGGTGTTATTTGTTTAACAATTTGGAAGGGACCCACATACCTGGGACTGGGTTTCCTGCACGGAAGTCTGAGGCGGAGATCTCGGGTAGATAACCAGACCCATTGACCTGGAATGTATTCAGGACTGAGGCGACGGTGACGATTGGCTTGCAACTTCTGCCTCCTAACGGCATGTAGCAAGTGGGTGTGAGCCTGGTTCCAAATGTTCTCGCTCCTATGGAGCCAGTCGTTGATAGCAGGTACCTTGGTGGGTTCTCCTGACCATGGGAATAAAGGTGGTTGGAAACCCATTATGCATTGGAAAGGGGTTAGTCCAGTTGAGGGTTTTTGAAGTGAATTTTGAGTGCACTCTGCCCACATGAGATATCGGCTCCAGTCTGCTTGGTTCTGTTGGCAGTAGGATCTGAGGAATCATGTGATTTCCTGATTGAGCGCTCAGTCTGGCCATTAGATTGCGGGTGATATCCTGAAGTGAGGCTGATGTTGATATTAAGTTTTTGGAAGAAAGCTGACCATACTCTAGAGGTGAATTGGAGACCTCGATCCGACACAAAAAGATGCACATGCACATTGTGACATGCACAAGCAAGTAGCTCTCTCACTTTCTTCAGTAAATGAAAATTATCTAGTATTTTTCCCCTCAGTTTGATGATACAGAAATTAATTTAATCTTTGTTATAACAGATCATTATAATGAATAATACATTATAAATTTATTATTCATTAGATAATTTATTTTTTATAAGAGTTGTGAGCATGTATTATTTATTAGCTTTGGATCTAATTATTTGCATATATATTAATCTGTCAAAAAGAAAATCAGGCGACAACTTGTATATATATTTATATATTTGAAGCAACAGAAAGACAAGAGCAAAGTACAGGTGTGATTTCTCTCGTCCACCAGTGCTCATGAAATCTGCACATGCTATACAGTCTGTTATATTTATGGAAGACCATTTCTGCCATGGAAAAAAAAAAGATAAATTGCAACTTTATCTCACAATTCTGATTTTTCTCACAATTCTGAGATATAAGAGACACAAACTCAGAATTGCGAGTAAAAAAAGCCAGAATTGTGAGATAAAAAGTTGCAATTACCTTTTTAATTTTTTTATTTCCATGGCGGAAACATTAAAACAGTAAACTTAGAATTGTGAGAAAAACAGTCTGAGTACTGAGTTTGCATCTAACAATTCTGCGTTTATTTCTTAGAATTGTGAGAAACAAAGTCCGAATTTTGAGATAAAAAGTTGCAATTACCTTTTTTATTATTTTTTTATTCCGTGGTGGAAATGGGCTTCCATAGTTTTTCCTCATGCAAACCCATGGGTTTCCAGTCCAGAAGATGCACATATATCCTGTCAAGACATTTTTTGACTTTGATTTATCCCATGTTATAAACACTCCTGCTGTTGGAAGTCCAGCTGGAGGAGCTCGAGTTAGTGCCGCGTGTCTTTTTGAAAGCTTAATACAAAGCTGGTGTTTCTCAGCGGCAGATTGGGGGATCACACGCTTTGAACATATGGAATGTGATTTCTGACTCTTTACTGCACTGCAAACACAAATTCAATCATATAACAATCCAAACAACAATACATGAATTGTGTTGCGTGATTTAATGTGATTATGTGTGGATTAAAGGATTCTTTTGGATTCTGTAGGTGCTCGGTGGGAGAGATCACAGATGCCATGAAATCTGTTTTCGGGGAGCACAAAGCCAGCACGCGCATGGTGAGCGGAGCGTACCGCAGTGAATTCGGCGAGCATGAGGAGATTGCACTGGCGCATAACAGGTAGGAGCTTACAGATTCCTGAAACTGGAACTGTACTCATTCCCCACATCCAAATACGCCTGCTTTCCTAACATATAGCATGCTAAAAGCAGTATTTCAAATGAGTACTAGGTCCAAATAAGTGGACAAAAAGTTGTCCTTCCAAGGGTGTTGACATAATCGAATATAAAATTTATGGAAATGTTTATTATGAAAGTCAAAAGGGTGTATGTATATATATGTGTGTGTGTGGGTAAATATGTATACATTTTTGGTTGTGACAATAACTAATTTATACATTAAATTAAAATAATATATATATATATATATATATACATTATATATTTAAAAATATTGTGTAGAGGTATTATTAAAATGATTACAAAATATATAACATAAAATATACATTTAATTGTCATATATAGATATGATTTTTTATTTTACGATAGTTTTAAATAATTGTGTAAAGTTTAAATTTTATCATTTATTAATTTGATCATTTATAATAATTTGTATTTTTACATAAAAGCAATTAAAAGCTTTCTGTAAACATAATTTTTTTGTTGTGTTTTTATTATTATATTTACAAAATAAATATTATTTGAACTGCATAGTTTGAGCCCTGTATATATATATTGAGAGGTCGAGGTAGTTATGACCCAGGTCATCTATGCTACAACCTACTCATGAAAATATGAAAATATTGCATTTAACAATAATAACATTTCACAGACATTTAATCTTTTATTGCACTTGAGCCGAACCCATGGCTCGGCCTGAGAACTTCATTTTGACTCTTATGGCATCATTATTGTTATTGTCAAAAAACACTAAATGCAACTGGATTTTGGCTTTTTTGGGGGGATTTGGCTTTAGCTGCTGAACTGATGATAAATAAAGATGGCTCAGACAGAGAAAAGCTCAGAGATTCCACTGTGTTTTTGTCTTTGTGTGTCTTAAGGATTTTCTGCAGTCTGATTAAAGCATGTCCACCCGCCTCAATGTGACCTCAGTATGAAAGAAGAGATGAGAGGGAGACCGTAAAAATCAAACATTACACCATAAATATTTAACACTAAACCTACAAAAGATCCAGATCTTACAGCCTGAACATCTCATAGACTTTGAGGGTACTTTGTACGTTACATGGTGATTACTGTGTTTTTCATCATAGATTTATATTTCATTTCAACCTCAATTCAGTTACCGAAAACGGCTTTATTTCAGTTACCGGAAAAAAATATATAACTTTGATAGGAAAGTATGAAGTAACCAACCACAGTTTCTTCCTTTACAGGAATAGCTCACCCAAAAAATAACTTACCATCATATAGTTTTAAACCCGTGTGACTTTGTTTCAACACAAAATGATACAGAAACATCATAAAAGCGTTTGAAACCTCATCAGTAACTTGATGCTATCATGCTTTGTGTTCTTGTTTGTCAGAGTCGTACAGTTTAAAAAGCTTGAAGGTAGAAATCCCCGTCTGCTCGTGGCCAAAATGGGACAGGATGGTCATGATAGAGGAGCAAAGGTCATCGCCACTGGATTCGCAGACCTTGGGTTTGATGTGGATGTCGGCCCGCTTTTCCAGGTATGAAAGACACTGTCATTGTGATGGTGCATCTATACTAAGATTTTTTGTCTGCGTTTCTGAAGTCTGGTTAAAAATATCTCTTTTCCTCTCTGAAAGTCATCCATGTGTTAAAGATGCTCAAGAAATCAGCTCATGGAGCTCAACTTTTCTCAATCGTATTTATCTCACACATTTTAGCGTCCAATGTTCCTTTAAGAGCAGAGTCTATCATCAATTAAGAGATCCTTTCTGAGCCATAGACATCAAAACATTGAATCCATGACTGAGCAGATCAAATGCATACCTCGGAGTTAAGCTCCCACTTCTCCACAGTTTTCAAAATAAGAATAATCCGGTTCTCTCATTTGTGCTCCATGAATGCTCAGCGCCATCCTGAACAAAACTGTTTCCACATCAGATTATCAGGTATAAACTGAAAAAAGTGTCTCTCAGACCACAAACATAGTGTGAGGGTTAATATACGCTACTATTTAAAAGTTTTTAAAAAGAAGATTTTTAGTGTGTTTGAAAGAAGTCTCTTATCCTAACAAAGGCTGCATACAGTAAACAAAATGCAGTAAAAACAGTAATATTGTGAAATATTCCAATTTAAAATAACTTTTCTATTTGAAAATATTTGAAAATTTAATTTATTTCTGTGATGGCAAAGCTGAATTTTCAGCATCATTACTCCAGTGTCACATGATCCTTCAGAAGTCATTCGAATATGCTGTTTTGCTGCTCGAGAAACATTTATTATCAGTTTTGAAAACAGTTGTGCTGCCTAATATTTTTGTGGAAATTGTGATGTAATTTTTTCAGGATTTTTCAATGAATAGGAAGTCCAAAAGAACTTTACTGTCACTTTCGATCAATTCAATGCATTTTTGCTGAATAGAAATATTAATTCACACCAAACTGATAACTATAATGATAACGGTAAAAAAAATAGAATTTTAAAAATCGTTCTACGTGTAAAAGAATAGAAGAGTCCACAACTATAATGATAACAGCACAGAGGAACAATATCATTGGAATCAGTATTTATTCCAGCAATGAACAATAAAAACATGGACATCCAATCAGAATCCATCCTGCTTTAAAGAGCTCTAGCATTTAGTGACACATGGCAAAAGTGCAGTGTGTGCTTATAATAAACAGAATGTTATTGTGCGTTCGTGTGGACACTGATATTGTTATCAATTTAGTTATTGTTCTTGATGCAAGATGGCCTTTAATGCTTGTCATTTCCCTTGGATTTTTCTATGTGGTGTCTGTTTCCATGACGACAGACCCCGTTGGAGGTCGCCCAGCAGGCTGTAGATGCAGATGTGCATTGTGTGGGCGTTAGCACACTGGCAGCTGGACACAAGACCCTCGTGCCTGAACTCATCAAAGAGCTGCGTAACCTCAACCGGCCCGATATCATGGTGATCTGCGGAGGGGTCATACCACCACAGGTAACACCTGCCCCCCTGATAGACAGCTGGACATATGAGCAGAGGCAGAGCTGAATTACTACCTTACTACCTACACAGGCAGAAAATCGCTCTGTGAAATCTGTCCGTTTCATAGAAAGCAGAATATGAAAATGTATGTCAAATATGTCAAAAACTTTAAATCCATTTTTTTTAGTTAGTAGATGGTGTAGTTACTTTTCCTTATAGGATAGTTTACCCAAAAATTTTGGGTAAAATTTCCTCACCCTCGTGTTGTTCTAAACCTGAATAAGAATTTCTTTCTTTTGTTGATTTGAAGAATGTTGGCATCCAAAGAGTTGATGGTAGCCATTGACTTCCATAGTATTTTTTTATTTATTTATTTTTTTTTTACTACTATGGAAGTCAATGGCTAATAGCAACAGAATAAAGAAACACAGGTTTGGAACAGCTTGAAGGTGAGTAAATGATAACTGATTTTTTTTTCGTTTTGGGGTGAACTGTCCCTTTAATGTCCTGGTATACTCATTCAAAGTTCTTCGCTTGGGGGTAAAAAGAAGTTTGATATACGTAAGCAGCGGTTTACTGTTACCGAACACCCCGATGCCGTCCACACTGCTGAGAGCGGCGTTTAAATGAACATGTAAATATGTGTTTACAACTTCAATTTCTACTATAAAGCAGCTCTCCAGTGTGTTTATGTTTTTACTCATGTCTGACCTTGACGGACTGAACAGAAGAAATTAACCGGAGAAGATTGCCACATTAAGGAAGGCTGAGCTTCAGAAAAACACCTACCTATTATGTATAATAACCACGGACCAATGGTAGTTTGAAGGTGTTTACCAGCCGGAGTGAACTTTTCTGGAAAGTTTGCTTTGACAATGGCAAGCTGTTTCAAACTCTCGAAACGAACTCCAAACGTACTTTACTTTGGACTGATTTTGTTCGAAATGACATCACAACAGTTCATTCTTCGATTTAGCTTGAAGTATATCTGGGCCTTTATACGTCTACACCTCAGATAGCCATGATGTTCAAAGGGAGCTGTTATCTTTGTTTTGACATGGACAATATTGAATGGACAACATTTGACATGGACAACATTGAATTTAAATGGACTGTCCAGAACCTGATCATTATGGCGTGACAGTGATGTAGATTAGACTCGACTGAACTCGAACAGTATGCATTAATCAGATTTCACCATTCACAATGTGTAAGGAAAAGATAAGAAACATCTTTTTTAGTGGCAGGAACGTCAAAGTTTTTTCTTCTATTAATCGTTAAATCTTTGAATCTCATCTCAAAAAGTCAGATTACCTTATTGTATTGATTAATAAAGCAGTAAGACATGAAAGGCCATATGTTACATTGATTTTAGCTTGATTAAGGGTTGTTGGGCACTACACACAGCATAGGCCGCTTATGACTGCAGAGGTGGACAAAGTACACAATTCTTATTCTATTTCTTGAGTGAAAGTAGAGATACTGCTGGTCAAATATTACTCCATTACAAGTGAAAGTTGTAAAGACTTACTTTTTAAAAGTACTTAAGTACCAAAAGTAAATTTCCTTTTTTTATATCAATGCACTGTTTTATTATTGTTGTATGTAAAACTTGCAATACCTTATAACTTACTTACTGTAATGTAACTTACAATACATTACACCTACTGAATACAGTCATGGCCAAAAGTTTTGGCAGTGACATTAATTTTTGTTTTGCAAAGTTTGCTGCTTCACTATTTGTAGATTATTTTTCCACATGTTTCTATGGTATAATGAAAAACAATGATAAGCATATCATAAGTTTTAAAGGCTTTTATTGGCCAAAAAATATATATAATGAGTCAATATTTACAGTGTTCACCCTTGTTCTTCATAACCTCTGCAATTCGCTCTGACATGCTGGATATTAGCTTCTGGGCCAAAATCCATGGATGGTCTCAGGATGCTTCACTGTTGGCACAACACAGGACTCATGGTAGCGTTCACCTTTTCTTCTCCGAACAATCAATTTTCCAGATGTCCCAAACAGTCGGAAGGGAGCTTCATCAGAGAAAATAACTTTGCACCAGTCTTCTGCTGTCCAATCCTTGTACTTCCTGCAGAATTTCAGTCTGTCCTTGACGTTTTTCTTGGAGAGAAGTGGCTTCTTTGCTGCCCTTCTTGACACCAGGCCGTTGTCCAGAAGTCTTCGTCTCACTGTGCATGCAGATGCTCTCACATAAACCTGCTGCCATTCCTGAGCAAGCTCTGCACTGTGACACGATTCCAGCTGACTCCTCAGAAGGAGATGTCCTGGCGCTTGCTGGACAATCTGGGACGTCCTGAAGACTTCTTCACTGCAGTCGAACCTCTCTTCTTGAAGTTCTTGATGATCCGGTAAATGGTTCTTTCAGGTGCAATATTCTTTGTAGCAATTTCCTTGCAAAATTATTGCACAGTATATAAGATATTCTTGTAGCTTCGAGTGCAGTGCTAGCAACAAGAAGTTCATGGCTTTGATTTCTGCAGAATGCTTTAACTAATGAAAAATGTCAAACTTGAATGCAAATGTAGCTGCTTAGTGTAAAATGTAAATACTCTTCCGTTCAAAAGTTTGTGGTCAGTAAAATTTTTTTAATGTCTTTGCAAGAAGTCTCTTGGGCTCACCAAGGCTGCATTTTTTTAATCAGAAATACAGTAAAAATTGAAATATTATGAAATATTATTGCAATTTAAAAAATGTTTTCTATTTTCATTTATTTTACAATATAATTTATTCCTGTGATGCAAAGCTGAATTTTCAGCATCATTCCTCCAGTCTTCAGTGTCACATGATCCTTCAGAAATCATTAAAATATGCTGATTTGCTGCTCAATAAATATTTCTTCTCATCAATGTTGAAAACGGTTTTTGCTGCTTAATATTTTTGTGAAAAATGTGATACTTTTTTTTTCAAGATTCTTTGATGCATACATTTCAGTAGTACAGCATTTATTTGAAAAGGAAATCTTTTCATTATAAATGTCTGTATACTGTCATTTTTTTTATCAATTTAATGCATCCTTGCTGAATAATAATAATAATAATAATAATAAATAAACTTACTTACCCCAAACTTTTAAACACTAACATCTAATAACCCTGCTATTTTCAATATTGCCTAATTATTAACATCACCCCGCTGTTTGTGCTCAGATCAAATAACTAATGAGTTGAAATCCAAAAGTTTTCATCTTCAACAAGAGGCCATTTGCTCTTCCAACATAATACAGATAAATTTGCATCCAAGCAGTCGACTCATTCACATATAGGTCAAACTCTATTCTCAGTCGCAGTGGGGTGTAATTAGGACCTGTAAAAGGTCAATTTGCACATTGCTAAATAATGATCTCTAGGCTGGTGTGTATGAACATGTGATGGTGCGACGCAACCTGTATGCATGCAATTACTTTGTTGCTGTGTGGGTGCAAATGCTGTCTTCTTTGTACTTGTCCATGAATGCATGAAATGGATTCTGTTTCAGCTTATGTCTGGTTGCTTGAGGTCTGGAGGCGTTTTTAGTTCCTTAGACTTCTTGCCTGAGTGCTATTAATTGATTATTGATTGTTAACATGTAGTGAGTGTGAGCCGGTGGAGGTGAAGCTGCGGTAATTGAAGCAGACATGGAAATCCTTTTAATGCATGCAATCCGTTTGTTTGTACTGTATCAGATCTCTCGGGTAGATTCGCTATAGTGTTTGGCATGGCAGTTAAAATATACACTGTTCCTCATGCTGAGATTCTTCTGTGATGTGATTTTCTGTGCAAGGCAGGGTTTGAATCAGCGCTTCTCAACAGGCGGGTTATGAGCCAAATACTGAGCCATGCTGAACATGAATGTTAAAATGCAAGTTCATTTAATCGTGCATAGTTAGGACAGAAAAAATAGGCTTATCAAAACGAATGAGACAACGCTTCTATTGTCTTTTGTTGTTAATGTTGTGCATCCAATCAAATTCTGCACTACTTCATATTATTAATAAATTTTAACCCTGTTTACAGAATTATGCTACAATACATTTTGACTAGCATAATTTCAAGATTATTATTATTTGGTTTAGTATTTGTTTGACATGTTTGGCATATTATGTAGTTATTAATATATATATACATATATTTATTCATATATTATACATATTTAAATGTAGTATTTTATACATACTGTATATACACACTTTTTTGGGGGTCAGATTTTGTCAGAATTTTAGTTTTCATGGTTAAAAAAAGATGTGACCAATGAGCAAGAATGTTATTTTTTACTCATCTTTTTGTGTTTTATACATAGTCTTTTTTTTTTTTTACTCTTGCACCATTATACAGGTGAGCAGTTGTAATTTCTCTTGAGTTTAACACTATTTTTTTATTAAAGCATGTATTTCCATGTAGATGATGGATGTCAGTGCAGAATAATAAGGAATTTACCATTAGTGGACATCTTGTTAGACAGACCAAATCTTAGATTGTCTGATTCGGTCTGATATCCTACACAGTGCAGAATAATAAGGAATTTACCATTAGTGGACATCTTGCTAGACACTCGTTATAATAAACTGCCGAGTATTGTATGTATTTTTTTTAATGATCCAAAGAAACACAAACTGCTTTCTATTTCAGTTCGAGACCGTTTCTGTTTATGATTGATATTTTTATCTAAAAGCAATTAGTTGAACTTAATTAGTTTCAATATGTGCTCCAAGCACACTTAACATGTTCCAGGTTCAATACCAGTTCAGTTAATTATCTTACTAATCATGGCTTAATGTAGTTCAGTATTGATGCTGTACACGATTAATATTCTTATTATTTCAGGACTACGAGTTTCTGTACAAGAGTGGCGTCAGCTGTATCTTTGGCCCAGGGACCAGAATTCCTCAAGCAGCGGTGGAAGTTCTTGACAACATTGAAAAAAGCCTGGAGAAGAACCGACAGGCCATGTAACCACAGAACAGTCACACTAACATCTCAAAATGCACTTAAGCTCAGAGCAAGACAGCAATTCAGAAGGATATTGACTGAGAAAAAGTAGAAAACGTTTGAAATTCCAATAATTATCACAGCACAGTGTAATCAGTGTGAAATCGACTCTCAGAGTTGTTTGATTGAAAACGTGTAAAAGCAGTCTTTGATTTTGTCTAAAATGTGTATAGTTTGACATAATGCATTAAAATCAACATAAAAATGTTGATGTGGTCACCAGCCCTTTTCTTACATCATCCTTTGCTGTTTATTTCAACTCGTAATTTCACGATCTTTTCTCATCAGAGTGAAGCTGTTTTGTTGTTTTATTCAACAATATAAAACACCATAAGCACAATAACTTAACTTGGATAATGTATTTTATATATACAGTAATATAAGCTTTCTGTCTTGGCTTGATGTGGACTTACGGACTTATTGTGCAATATGTTGTGCATGATCTTATTGAGCACCATCCGTTTCAGCTTTCAGTAGAAATGAGCATGTAGATGTTGAGATCTGTATGATTATATGTCTACTCTGGCCTAGGTCCATATGAAACTAAACCCTTGGTGATGTGAAAGTGAG